CTTTTTGTGGTTTGATCATTTTCTTTTGTATTATCTTGGTTTCTTTTTGTTTTTGTGGCTCTGTTTTGTGTTTTGATTTGTGGTTACCCTGTTTTTCAAATATATTAACCCATTACTACATCTGTTTGCTTTAAACTGATAGTCATATAAGCTCGAAAACATCCTAAAAAGAATGAAAAAAAGGAAAAAAATCTATATTTTCTTGCTCCCCTCTCCCACCTTTAATGATTTTGATGTCTTCTTTTCCAGGAGAAAGGGGGTTGGGAAGGGATAAATTTGGGAGTTTGAGATTTGCAAATGTTAGCTACTATAAATAAAAATAGATTAAAAAATTTTTCTTCTGTATAGCACAGGGAACTATATTCAATGTCTTGTAATAACCTTTAATGAAAAAGAATATGAAAACAAATATATGTATGTATATGCATGACTGGGATGTTGTGCTGTACACCAGAAACGGACACATTGTAACTGACTGTACTTCAATTAAAAAAAAGTATATGGGGGGTTCATTCCCTATTCTGTAGCTCTCCAAGAGCTATAATTTAGGTTAACACTACCAACAGTACCAACAGCCACTGTTAAGCCACTATGTTAATTAAGCCACTATGTTAATTAAAACATAGTGACTTGCTATGTTTTAGGTGCTGTACTTTTCATCTGTGTGTGTCATGTGACACCTTTCCCATCACAGTGAAGTTGGTCTCAGTATTCCCATTTTCACATGAGGACACTAAAGTCTGGGGCCAGTAAGTCATTTACCCAGAAGTTACACAATACCCATAAACAGCAGCACGGAGAGTTGAGCCCAAGGCTGTCTGACTTTATAGCTTGGACTTGTCCCACTACCCCATGCTGCCACCCAGTGTTTGTCACACTGGATGTCACAGCACAACCAGCAGTTAGAAAGCCTTCTGGGCAGTGGTGGTCTTTGGTGAGACTGTCTCCGAGAGGACCCCGGGTTTAGACGGTGTTCCTTCGGAGAAGGCAGCCCTTGTCGGTCACGCTGGCTCCTTGTGGCCTCTGTGGTCTGGAACTTAACTGCTTCTTTGTAGGTCTCTCTTGCCCTGGGTCTAAAATCTTAACTGGAAATCTCCAGTCTTTCCCATGGGCATTTTCCTTTGTTTGCTTTGCCTGTGTTGTTTGAGGGTAGAACCTTGGAGAAATTTAATTCTGCTAATATTTGCAAAAGACTTACCATGTTTAGGGAATTGGGCCAGGCGTAGAATCGAGGAGGCAGGAAAAGTAAAAAGACCATGAAGAAGCTATCTGCCCTTAAGGGACCTTCTTTGATCGTGCATTAGCTACAGCCATCTAAATCTTATGTAATGGTCTCGACCTAGTTTATTCTGGAATGGGGACCTTTATCAGATGGAATTCTGGTTCTGAGATCTAACTCTTAGAATCATGCCTCTTAGTGAAGAGGGTGGGGTAAAAGTAGACTCTGAGAGTGTATTCTCTAGAATCCAGGCCCTGCCTCCAGCTTTGTAAGCTTGGACAAGTTATTTAATTTCCCTGTGCTTCAGTTTCCTCCTCTGAAAAACAGGGATGATGATCGTGCCTGCCTCGTAGATTTGTTGGAAGGGATGCTTGAGGGGACTGGTATGTGGTGGTCCCAGCAGTGCTTCGTGCTCAGAATGTGCATGTGTGTGTGTGTGCGTGTGTGTGCACACCTGTGGGTGCAGGTGGGTGGGGGGTGTGCTATGTATGTGCACATGTGTGGGTTTGGTGGGTGTGTGTACATGTGCATGAATGTGATTGAATACGTGGTATGTGCGCATGGGTGTAGGTGTCTGTGGGCATGTGTGTGCGTGTGCTTACGTGTGTCTGTGTGTTGGCCATTGTTGTTGTCATTATTATTACTTGAGCTCAGTGTGTTGGTCCAATTGTGAGTTTCCGTCTGAGGTTTCTTGAGATGTTTAAAAACTTAACACAACTGCTTGTCCTCTGGAAAAACTTCCTGTTAGGGGTAAGGTCAGAGTGCATGAGCTTCTTTTTTCATATAAAGCTCTGGGATTTTACTTGTCTCAATTGTCAAGTAAGTTTTGGGATTTTACCTTTTACAAAAAAGGGAGATTTAGTGAATGCTGCTGCCTCCTAAAATCTGTGTGATTGGCTTTGGAGCCCATGATTTTTCCTCCTTGAAGAGAGAAGTAGATAAGAAAGAACTACATCCCTTTGAAGCCTTGTTTACTAGGAAGGTAGTTAGTCTGGTCCACATCGGCTAACTGATAGAGTTTAACCATCATCCATGAATGACCCCTCACACAAATCTCATGGAAATACTTAGAGTGCTCACACTCATTGCATATGATTACATCTGTGGAAGAGCTGTAATCCTGGATAAGACAGCCTCCCTGCTTGTTTTAGTTGCTCAATGTCAGAAAGTCATAGGTGTTGCAAACCCTGGATTTTAGTTCACAGACGTCATCATTTAGAGCTGAATATGCTATAACTGTTGCTGGCTAGTTCCCAGAAAAAACTTTTCCTTAGTCTGTCTTAGGGGCAAAATATGTTACTCTCTTGGGGAGAATTATTTTATCTCTGGGGCTCCTGACTCTTTTCAGAGGACTGTTGGTGAATCAGGGGGACTCTCGGGGGCTGGACTGTCTGCATCAGGTACCGCCAGGCCCCGGAGACACTGAGTGAAGGATGAAGAGCTTCCAGCGTCAGATGCTCGGGGTGCTCTCTGTGCACTGAACTGTCTGTATTACACTGGCACTTTCTATTCTTCTTTTAAAAGAAAAAAAATAAGATTGAAAGCAACAAAAATATGAGTTAAAATAGTCAATGTCAAAATAAGGTAAAATGTAGTAAAAATGAGACCAGTTAAGCTAGTAAAATAAATCGCAGTGCCCCGAGCATTACTGGAGACCGCCCAGGGCCCTTTCTGTTATTCATACGTGCTCCGTGTTAACTGGAGCTCTCTTTACAAGCAGATCTTCCTACAATGAAGAGTCCTAGGCTAAGCACCTGTTTTAGAGCAGTTGGAGGGGATCTTTGTGGAACCACATGGCCCCCCGCTCCTCTCTGATCTGGCAGCTCCCACCTCATGCTAGAGAGATGCGTCTTACGCACCTGCAGGGAAACAGAGACACACATGAGGTTATTTTCCAGATAAGAAATTTTGTGAAGGCAAAGACTGTACTGGGTGTGTCTTTTTTTTTTTTATCTCCACTGCTTATTATGATTGGCCAACTGCTCTTCATTTAAGCCAGTAACATGGAAAGCTCAGGTAGCCAGGTTCTACTTTTCTCATCCAGCTTCAAGCCTGGTTATTCTCTGTGCTGTAAGTTTCTTGAAACTAGAGACTTCATCTTGCTATTTTTTGCAGCCTGAGTGCCTCTCATAGTGAGTTCTCAGTACGTGATTCTTAAATGGAAATGGACCACACAGCTTCGAGGACAGCCTAGAGCATAAATCCTTGATACCCTGGCTCCCTGGCTCATTCGTGTATCTTTTTTTATTAACTAGCATATAGCTGGACTCAGTCAATGTATGTTGAATTAAAATCGATTGCTGCCCCTCTCTGTGCTCCCAGGGTCTGTATTCCAGTGTGGTGTGTCCAGGTACGATGCTAACCAACATAACGTATGGGATTCTACCTCCCTTAATATGGACACTGATCATGCCAATCATATGGCTGGTAAGTGATGAGTACTTCTTTTCTTGGTTGACTTCAGTTCTAGTTGGCACCGAAAAGACGTGTTTAAGGGTTGGGAAATGATTTTTAAAAATTTAAGAAACCTGAAGGTGGCAGAATTCCATTTCGCTCAAAGGTTCTGAAGTTTCTTAATAAGTGACCTTTGCTTCATACTACCTGATATTCCCACTGCAACACCATATGAGTGTCCGCATTTCTTTAAGGGAATGTCTCTTTGATCACGCACCACAGGTCTCAAGAGTTCTATGATTATATAATTTTGGGAAACTCCTGTGCATTAAACATTTCCAAGAAGGGTATGATGTTGCATCGTATGATCACAGAATTGTGTTTTTGCTTGTTTGCTTTGTTTGGTATTCTGAGCATCTTGTAGGACCAGTGTCCCTCTAGCACACATAAAAAATTCTGCTTTTAGGAAATGATCCTCCCTTGCAGAGCTTGGGGAAAAAATACCCGTCCATTATGGCAGGCATAGAAGAAAGATGAGAAGGAAATACACTTTCATGTTAAAAGTGGTTGACTTGAAGTGATGGATTCTAAGTGACATTTATTTTTTTAGATTTCTTTAATTTTTGAAACTGAAAAAACTGCTGTATGATAAGAAATGCAGGTTGTCTGTCTTAATATGTAAATGAGTAATGCTCTGGTGACTCTGCTCTAAACTGCCACAAAATGACTGTTGTTTTCTCTTTCTCAGCTTCGCTTTTTTGCAAACGCCTTCACTTTGACACCAGACAATGGAACAGAAGCACTGGTATGTTACTAGGGTTTCAAAATCTTGCATTCACTTCACAGATGTAAATTGTCAGTTGGATGGTTTAGAAACAGTCTCAGCAGAAAAGGGAACAAGCTCTGAATAATCAGAGTCCTGTCTAGGGTTAAGGTGTTAGGAGTGAACTTTGAGGGGTTCGTATCTTTCATGGCACCGGACACCATGCTTGTGGGGACAGCACTTCTGTAGGAGCGAGGTACACCAGCAGCCAGAGGAGAGCGGAGCAGTGGACGACTGCCAGGGGCAGGCAAAGCAAGGGGGTGGCTGGGCGGTCAGTGCGAGATTTCCCGTGGAAAAGGTGTGTTTTGCAAGTCAAGATTAGTGGCAACCAAGTCCAGCTCCATTTCCTTATGTGAAGATTCTCTTTCCTCTGTTACTGTGGGAGAAGCAGGTTGTCACTTTATTAGAATGGGCAAAGGACATGAACAGAGAGTTTTTAAACTGTGTTCATAATATGAAAAGATATCCAGTCTTACTTATATTAAGAGAAATTTAAATTAACACTATAATAAAAAACTGTTTTTCAACTCTGATTAGCAAAGATTAGAAAGCTTAATAAAATGGGATACTATTTTGTCAGAGGTCTAGGGAAGTAAGCCATCTTCTCCTTGCTGGGGGGGGAGTAGGTTGATACAGCCTCTGTCAAGGACTGTTTGGCGAGATTGCTCAAAATAATAAACACACATACCCTTAACCCAGCAACTGCATCTTTGGGATTTATCTTATAGATGTACTAAGAGTTACATGGAATGATATATTTATCATTCATCACAGTGAGGTTTGTCATAGCGAAGACTGGAAACACCCTCAATGTCCATCAGTTGGAAACTGATTATATAAATGTTGGTGCCTCCATGAAATCGAATGCTGCGCCACTTTGAAAAAGCAGGAAACAACTCTTGATATACTGATTTGAAAACATCTCCAGGGCCTGCTGCTCAAGTGAAAAAATGCAAAGTGTGAAATAGTGTGTACATTTTGCTTCTATTTGCATAGAAGAAACAAATGGACATATTTTTAAGCAAATAGATTTTCTTTGGAAGAATACACAAAATACCAGCGAGAGTGCTTGCTTCCAGAGAGAACAGCTAGGTGGCTGGGAAACTGGGGAGGGAGGAAGACTTACTTTGTACCATGTACGTCTTCTGAAATGTTGTACATGTGCATGCTTATCTGTTAATGAAATGAAACATTACATCAGCGACCTACACTTTACTGTAGCATGAGGTGAGTATCCGTGCTGAATAAGCTCAAGTTCACGTGCCATGGATTTTAATTTGAGGATTAAGGAAGAGACAGCTAAAATATGGGGGGGTTGCTTTAAATAGTTTTTCTTTGGCTACTGTTAATTTTAAGCAGGCTGCCCTACTTTCTTCCTTCAAATTACAGCAGTGGTTAGTGAAGACATCACAATTAGCTGATGTTATTCAGGAGGACTTTTAGAACTGGGGGCACCATGAAATGCAGATGGTGAATCCCTTCCAGCCTCACTCACCCCGGGCAGAAGAGAAGAATCACTGACACCCTCTTCCTTTCCAGGTCTGGCTTTTCCACCAAAAGCCCGAGTCTCTCAATCCTCTGGTGAAATATCTGAGCGCCACCAACGGTTTTGGAAGCAATTATGTGACGTCGAGAAAGGTGAATCTGATTCCTCTGTTTCGCTGAAGAGGTTTGCAGCTAGGCTGAGGGACAGGAACCTGGGTTCCTGACCAGCCCCACCAGCCACCCAGCTGCTCATCCCCGGGTCTTCCCTCTCTGCTCGCTGGCATCGCAGTGATCTGTTTTCACGTCTGCCTGCCCTCTCCTGCCTCTCCATACCTCCTCTCCACCCAAACTGCTCTCACCCTTCTTCTTTCTACTGATTGATTTCTCCTCTTTATCCTGAAGATCTCAGCCTGTTGTGACCTTTTGCATTAGATCAGATGCCTCTGTGCTAGGCTTTTTTGACCTCTTGTGCCAGTTCTGCACAGAATTCATTCACCATCGGCTCCCCTGTCTGAGTCTAAACTCTGCGAGGAGGAGGAGTGCACCGCCCTTCTATCA